CTAATCTATCCGTATTGGGCAAAAAACATAAAAGTTAGGCCCTCAGACAAGCTCAACTTTATATCAATCATACTTTGCTTTTCTAGCATTTGTTGTGCATCGATTATTATGATCACTGGGTGGTGACATTCTCAAAGGCCCTTTTGGCAGGAAACTACTGCACATAATCTCGGGTCTGTCACACCACATGGTTACGAGCTGGACCATGGGATTGGATCTGGATGGTGGGGGGTAGTTGATCAGATCACAACCATCTTTCAGTGATCAACTTAAAGCTTAGCTTTTATTGTAATGTTTGTTTCTTCTGCCTTGTTCATTCGTTCCCTGGGCCTATTACTGATATTGGGTCTATGACCAAAACTGCCTATTGCAGTAAATGGGCAGTCATGTCCCCTGGCTTAATGGAGCTTATGCTCTAGTTCCAAAAAAATCTTTAGAGGAAGGCAAAGCAAATCAAATCCCCCCCGCCAGTTAAAATTAAAGCATCAGACCCAAAGAATCATCAGAGAACCACACAATTCCCTGAATAAATGAGGCACAAAATGAGTACACTAGTGTGGCAGTTTTACTGAGTTTTGAAGTAGAGAAATGAGACTATTTCAGCCATTCATAAGCCTTTGGCTTTTGGGCTTTTGTAGTCTGTATCTAAACTGGACTCCCACATTAAGTAGAATTTTTGCCTTTAAAAGATTGAAAACTTTTTTCTTTATAATTCAGCTTTTCAAATGATTTGACTATGAGTAACTCATTTAATTTAGAGTTGTCTATGAGTTCTTGGCAATCACAATGCATATTTAGAAATCTTTGCAAGTGAGAAAAATCTAACTTGCAAATTGCTTTCAAATGTAATGGAATAGTTATAAGCCCTAAGAATAATAATTACTGATGTCAACGTGATGCTCTTTCCTAGGTATTGGTCTAAACAGTCATTAATTTTTAGCATGAAGATTTTGTGTTTCATGTTTTAGATCCAAAAGTTCTTTTTATTCAGCTCTCAAACATTCTTGTAGGTCCTGCCTACAATGCCTAATGGATAAAACAGCCCTGCACATAAAACCCAGAGTGGAAAAAAAAACCAATGAAATTAAGTAAAGGTGCCAGTATAGAAGGTCTACAGATAACTATGAGAGTTCTTTTCCACCCTCTTCAGAATTCTTGCAGAAATAGAGAGAGCCACATGCTCAAAGGGCACACAGTAGGTGTTAGCAATAAAGTATATTTGGTATATCGTAAGAGACACACACAAGGTGGGTACAGTACAAAGTAAACTCTGAGAACGGAAAGAAGGGAGGGAGACTCATTTTTAAAGCTCCCACTCTGTTAAGCCCTATGCCAAGTGCTTTTAATACATTGGTCCATTTAGTTTTCCTCACTGCCCTTTGAGGTAAAAATGGTTATACCCATTTTGTGGATGAACGAGCCAAAGCTGGGAGAGCGTCAGTAACTTGTCAAGGCATACAAAGCCTTGAAGAAACAGAACCCAGAGTCTACGCTCTGTCCACAAAACTCACACTGTCTTCTTATTTGACAAAGCAGGGATTATGGGATCACTTCTCACTGTCAATGCTGATTTAATGAGTAATGAATGTCAGTTAATATGCATGGGATGCAGGAGGGTGGGCAGAGGCTGGAGTTTCCCAGAGAGCAAAGTTGAAGTGACAGAAGGCAGAATTCACTGTCTTTGTTTTCCTTCAGTGATTCATTGGTAGAAGAAACTATGATGGATAAAACTTCTAAAGCCCACACTCTGCAGCAACACTGAGGGAATTTTGAACTATGGAAAGTCCCGAATCACAATCAGATTGGAACATATCCAAGCCCCTTCATTAGCCTTTGCAGTGTTTCTCAAAGTGTGATCCTGTGCCACCTCCCATAGAAATATGCAGGGGCTCGATGAAATGTAGGTTCCTGGGCCCCTGCACAGTTACCGGATGAGAATCTCTGAGGGGAAAGCCCCGGAAATCTGCATGTATTTACCTTTCCTATCTCTCTCATTAAAAATTTCAAACCATACTTCAGTGATTCAGAACAAGATTCCACTGCGTCCTCATTTTCTTGTTGAAAAACGTTTAAAGACCATAACTTAAACTACCAGGAACATCTAGTCCTATATTTACCAACATTTTACAGATGGGAAATTAGAAGAGAAAATGCAAAAGTGAACAAATCACAAGTTAAGAGAGAAAATAAGCAAATTTAACAAGTAAGTAAAATAGAATGAGAGCTCATAAACAGAAACAAAACAAAACAAAAAAACACATCTGATCCCTCTCTGCAGTGAGATTATCTCTTAGGGTCCTGGCTTACGCCACTGGCATGATTCCCACCCACTGGAAACGTGATAGGAAGGAAGCATTTGCTATTACCTGCAAGGTTAGAATCACGTCTCAGCTAAACCATTCCCACTCGGAAAAGAAGGAGGGATAGAGGAAAGATAGAGGGCAGACAGGGAAAGAGGGAAAGGAGAGAGGAAGTAAAAGGGGATAGAAGAAGAAAAAGAGAGTGCTAGAAAGAGAGTATAAGTGAGAGAGAGAGAGAGAAGGAGGAGGAGGAGGAGAAAGAAGAAGAGACACAGAGGGAGAAAGAGAGAGGAGGAGGAAGAGAAGGAGGGAGGCTGAAAGGAAAGGAAGAAGCAAATTTACTCCCTTTGAAGTGTGAGCTGGGTCCAGGGGACAGCAAGTGGAGGCTGGAACTAACATACTCCCAAGGGGAGGTCAGGGTGTCATGGAGAGTGCTTGTTGTTTGGTAGGGAAGGGGTCAGGTCCACCCCTCCTGTCCTTCCCATCCCGGCCATGATACCACCTCAGACCCTCACTGTTGCAGCTCTTGCTCCAGCCATCATCACCCATGCTTCTGCTCTGTTTCATCTTGGGAAGGGCTGGCAGAGCTCCTTTTCAGAAGTTGGCTTGCTCCTGCCTTTTGCTAACACAGAATGCTCCATGGAGTATAGAATTAACAACACAAAACGACACATGAAATTTGAGTGTCCAAAAGCCACCTCAGCATCACAGCCCCCTAGCACCAGAAGGCAGAGGCTCGGCCCTCTGAAAGAAGGAGAACCACGTCAAAAAGCCACAGTGCAGTCACAGCATGTATAATGGGAAGAAGTCTGAACTTCCAGACTGCTCAGACTTGGAACTGAAGAGGTTGAGTCTAAAAAGGAAAACATGTCACCTTGCTGCCAAAATAAACTGTGATGAAAGTTTGGACCCACCACCTTTCAGCCAGGCATTTCCTGCTGTGGCCTCCCCAGTCTGCCTGGGACCAGATGAGGGGGAGCTATTTTTAAGGTACATGCAACCAAGACTAAGAATGAGAGAAGTTATTTATTTATAGTTACACCTTTCAACTGTTCTTTTCCTCCTCTGGAGATAGAGGCCAGGGTTGGCTCTCCCTTTGAATCTAAAACCACTGGGGTAAGGAAGACTTTGAGAGGTTATGGTTCAGTCTACTGCCTCTAGCCAAGGATTACTCTCCTGGGGAATCCAGGTCAGAAAGCTCTTCACCACTTCTTGAAGAATTCCTCCTCAGAGATGTATACTCAGATTATGTGTCCTTGAGAAGTGTTTTGTTAAGACATACTTTTTGTATAAGAGGTGACTAGAAAGTGCATTTGTGGTTTTGTTATTTTTAGGAATCCAACAAGAAATTCCCCCTTCCACTTTTTTTCAATAATAGATTTTAGTACTATGCAGGTAGATATTCCCTAATTTATACAGGTTTATAAATTTAGACCTTATTAAATTTACTTGAAATGGGACACACCTATATTTAGTGTTCTAAGAGTCAACAAGTGCTTTCCAGTATTTAACTTCATCCTTTCTCTTGTAATTCAGAGATACTTTCTTGTTGTGTTAAATTATTTCATTCTTAATACCAAACTTTGAAGAACCTACTGGAATTTGCTACTAAATGGAGGAGAAAACCGCTCCCTCCTGTTGCACACGATAGCACCATCTTGGTTTTGGCCATTGCCTCCGTAAGTCACCGAATGGTTTTCTTCACAGTGCATATACCCATGTGACATTATCATGTTTGCCTCACTACAGTGTAAGCATCATGAGGCTTTGTTCACTCTTTAATCCATTACTGTATCACAAGCATCAAAAATACACTGGATGCTCAATATTCATCACCAAATCAACACATCTCTATTTCTCTCAAATTTCTATGTTATCTGGGATTTTAACAGATGTCAAAGAGCTCTCTACCCGCAATGGTTGCCAGTGTGATGTGACTATCCCTAAAGGTCCATTGTGATTCAAGGCCTGATCTCTAGGGTAGGAGGTGGCTCCCAATGGGTCATTGGGGGAGTGCCCCCAAAAGGGACTGTGGAACCTTAGTCTCTCCCTAACTTCCTTTTTGGCAATGTAAGGTCTTCCACACATATGTGGCTCAGCCATGATGTGACTACAGCTAGTTGTGTCTTTTCTAGAACTAGTGCCGTGCCTAAAACCACCAAAACTCTGAGCTTAATAAGCATTTCCTCTTTATAAAGTTACTTACCTTGGGTATTTAGTTATAGTGTTGAAATACTGAATAATATACCACCTCTTTCTTGTATTATTTAAACTTCATGTCTTCCTAAATATTTAAGCTCCATTATTTTCAGCTCCTGCCTCAGGTATTATCATAGGAATGATTTCAAGGTTATGGGGATGACTTCTTTCGAAATCCACTGGTATCTCTATATTTTAAATGAGTCAAACTTTAAAGCTTACAATGAGTTGGTGGGCATGAACTTTTCTCAGCTTTTTCTCCCTCTGCTTCTGGTGGGTTCTTTGTTCTGCCAGACCAATAAGACCACAATTTAGCCCTTTCAATTATTTTTTATTTTGTTGATTGATGAATGGTAAAATAATTCAAAAATGATGTCAGTGTTAGGGCATCTAATGTATTTACTTTGGGAGGTTGTTTCTAGCTATTATTCGGGGAATATTTCTATTGCTGCAAAAGCAATGGAAAAAATAAGTGAGAATAAAATTCTATTAGTTGCTTACCTTTTTACTTAAGTGAGGACCATTGGTGGCTCCAATGTTTCTCTGTACTGATGGTGGCACTTGATACACATCTTGTTCTTGGGTACCATGGCCAGTGGGTATTTGGTAAATTCCCTGATTCTGGTAGGAAGGTGGTACTTGGTAGATTGTGTCACGAGATGCTGTCTGTGAGTTTGGCACTTGATAGAGCTTCTGTTGGCCAAAGGTCTGGTGCACTGGTCCAGAAGTAGACTGGTCATGACTGGAGGGGGTCTCCTGCACAGGACCAATCAGAAGCTTCACTCGGTTGCCTGGGACAATGCCTTGACGACCGTGAAGGGAGCACAGCCACCATCCTTCTAGTCCTCCAGTATTCTGCTCTATGACAGTCAGGATGTCTCCCTTGCGGAAGGCCAGCTCCTCAGCACACTCTGGGACATTGTCATATAAGGCCCTTGCCATAAGATTCTAGGAAGGAAAGAACAGAGGGGAATCATGTTAGAATATTAACACCTACAGTCCATACTCTTAGGGATAGGCACAAATCCTGGAAAAAGTGAAGAAGAAATCTGAACAATAGCCTGTAAGGAAAAAAACAGATGGTGCTGACAAAAGACAGATACATACAGACTTGTCTGCCACCAATGACATCAGACTGCCTCCTCGGAAAAGCTTAAGACACCAGAAGAGATCTTTCCTCTAGCAGCAGATATGGTGCCAAGGAATTATGAGCAGCACTGCTAAAGAGTTAGAGAATGGTTCACTGCACAAAGCATTTTTCTTCCTTTTTAAAAGTGAGCTTAAGGGAAAAAATATTCTGAGCTATTCAGATGTAACACAATGGACATTTCTTTCTTTTTTTTCCCCCTACATTAGAGTTAAAAACAATCAAAGAAAATCCTAAATAACATACACTACAAGTGACATTAATATTCAGCATTGAAATGTAAACAAAAATACACTTAAATGTGCCTTGGCAGGGCTTAAAAAATCTTTTATGATTAAGAGGTCCCTGGAACCAGGAAAAATCAAGGCCTATAGAAGTGCCATGAAAATCAAGCATAGATAGTGTGACAGTAGGCTTTACCTCCTTATTTGACAGTGGGGTGCTACCAGGAATATGTTCCCATGTAGGTGGAGGCCAACTCTTTCTCACTGGGTCTTTTGCTCATTCCTGTCCCCAGGGCCTTCCTCATCCTGTCACTTTATCACCTACTTCTTGAATCTCTCCATTCACATCTGAAAGGCTGTGCCTTCCCCTTTCATGGGCCCAAAACACTCTCGCTCTTTGTAAGAAGGCCTGTCTGGCACATTCAGTACTAAGCAGACAGCCAAAGTAGGCATTCAGCAGAGAGCGGGCAGTCAGACGTGCTGACATTCCTGGAAGCCTTTCAAAGGCTCTGGAGATTTCACTTCTTGGCGTTCCATCATGTCTCCCAGCTGGCAGCCATTCTCGCATCCTACCCCCTTCCCAGCACACAGGGAAGTTGGGAACCTAGTGAATTCATTGCAGGCACTGGGAAAACTAAAAGTGACCTCTCTAGGGCTTCGTTTAAATGTTTGGAGGCACTTAATGTCATTGCAGTTGGGATCATTTATGGAAGAGAGGACTGCCGTCTGTCCAGAGCATACTTGAGACTATTTAATGTAACATATTTGTGGAATTTGGGGCTGTTTTCGTTTGGCCTTTTGCTCCCTGTTGTCTTCCCCAGAAATGTGAGTTGATCTTTCAGCCTTATGCTTTTCATTTCCTTAAAGCAGACATACATTAATCTTCTTCCTCTGGACTATGCCTGTAACCATAGAACTTGTTTGGTGTGCTGTTCTCTGTTATCTAGTGGCTGTATATGTGCAGAATCTGCCTCTGGTCAGGAGTTGGGAAGGGATCCAATTACTACTGTTAGGCAAGCTTTTTTTTTTTTTTTTTTTGGAATGGGTTTTGTTATGTTGTCCAGGCTGGATTTGAACTCCTGGACTCAAAGAATCCTCCCATTTCAGCCTTCTGAGTGCTGGGACTATAGACACATGCCATTGTGCATGGCTTGCCAATTCTTTTAGTTTGTGCAACTACTTAACTCAAGGAGGGGAGAGAAGGCTCCAAATGTCAGTCCCCAGAAAGCTTTGTGATGGCCTTCAAGAACAGACTGAAATCCTTATGTGTCCAGGGATTCTGTGCTGGGGACTAGTGAGCTATAAGGTAAGCTCAGGGGAACTGAGGAGTTTGTGTTTCAGCTGAGGGTTTCAATGAGCATTGGACTCTTTCTAACAATGAAAAGTACAAAAAGATAAAATTAGATAACATTCTTTTCTAGCTTGTGGAATCATTAAAGGGTGTTCTACAGTCCTAAATTCTCCTTTGTTTCTCTTCCTCTGTCTTTTGGGTGTTGTGTCATTTAAAAGAAAAGCCATAAAGTTACAGAAGATAAGTTCTGATCCTTTGTACCAAAATGATCTCAGGGAAATTATGCCAACAAAGTTGTATTGTGATGATAGTCGGGAAGGGGCCAGCCACTCTGGTCTCTGTCCCTTTCTTCTGAGCCCAATCAATAACAGGGACTAGCTAGTAAGGAAGTCCCTAGATGAAATCAGAAGCAATAGAGTTGATAGCTATGCAATCATAGCAATCATATGGGCTTCAAAGGGAAAAAGGATCAACAGAAAACAGTAGACAGGCAAAGGGCTACAGACTCAATCAGCATAAATCAGCTGGAGGCATTGGAACACCACGAGGCACTAAGTAGAGCACCTGACCACAGTTGATTAGAGGCAGATAAAAATCCCTGTGTGAGAACTAGGCTGGATGGTCTTTGTCTTCTGTCCCCATAACCTTCCCACCACCTGGCAAGCAGCCTGCTAATGTTTCCATACCAGCCTCACGGGCAGCTCTGGGGAGATCCTCAGAGCCTCCCAGTCCATGCTAAGGTGGGCACTGCAGGGGTCTTTTCTGCCCATTTGCCCACGATATCTCTCTACTCTTTCCCAGTGCCCATAGAAATCAGGACTTAGAGAGATCTTGACACAGTTGTTGGTGGCAGCAACCCTAGCACCAGCCTAACACCCATTCACAAACTTGTAGATATTCTCAGTCTTGGCTGACTGAGTTTGAGTTATTTAACTTCTGTGCAAGCCACAGAGAGCCAATGTCTATACCCGGCCACTCTCCGAAGCAGGAAGCTACAGCTGTGGAGACCTGCAGAGATCATCTGGGCCCAGTGTCCCTGCTTTACAGATGAGGACACAGTTCATCATTTGCTCAAGGTCACACTGCTGGTGTCACAGATGGAATCAGAAATGAACTCTTTGGTTAAATTTTCTTTCCAGAACACTAAGCTATTTCAGCTCTTCTCTACAAGGTCCTTCTAGTTGGGCTCAATACCATTTTATAAGGTTCTAGTTTTGGTACCGGTGGCTTATGCCTATAATCCTAGCTACTTAGGAGGCTGAGATCAGGAGAATCATGGTTCAAGACTAGGCTGGGCAAAAAGTTCCTGAGATCCCCCCATCTCAAATAATGGCTGGGCACAGTAGTACACACCCTGTTCAGCTATACAGGAAGCTGAGATTGGGAAAACCATGCTTCCAGGCCAGCCCAGGCAAAAACATTCATAAGATCCCATCTCAACTGGAAAAAAAGCTGGGTATGGTAGTGGGTATCTGTCATACCACACCAGTAGTGATGGTGGGAAGCATAAAATAGGAAGATCATGGTCCAGGCTGGCCTGGGCAAAAAGTGAGGCCCTATCTTCAAAATAACCAGAGCAAAAGAGATTTGGAGATGTGGCTCAAATGACAGAGCACCTGCCTCACAAGTGTGAAGTCCTGAGTTCAAACCCCAGTAACACCCAAAGAAAAAAAAGATTTGGAAGATGACTGGTTCTTTTCATGTCTATGGAGAAAATGGGTTCTTGGGGTTTGGGATCCTAGCTGTGCTGCTTCAGCTGATTACCTTTCCCTGTTTGCCTTAGCCTCCTCATCCATACGGTGAGAATGGGGTGGTGGGGGGGGGGTTGAGAGGACGATGGAGTGAATTAATTAAAGTATTTCAGCCTTGCTGGAGAATTCGGAAGCAATTATTACTTTTTTTGTTTAATTTGATGGATAGAATTGGGCTTCAGGCTGCTTACTTATTTTCCTCTCTCAGTTCTCAATTAAGAGTTAGTCTTATTCTGAGGATGTTATATATTTATATCTAGATATGTAGCTCTCTCTGTCTCTCGCTCTATGCATGTATACATAGAGGTTTATATGAATAATTTATATACATATCTGCTATTTTTCTCTCTTTTTTGTGGTACTGGGGGTCTGAACTCAGGTCCTTATGCTTGTGCTCTGCCACTTGAGCCACACCCTCAGTTCTTTACTTTTTTTTGTTTTTCAGATAGGATAGCCCACTAACTTGCTTGGGCTGGCCTAGAACTGCTGATCCTCCTACCTCTGTCTCCTGAGGAGGTGGCACCACAGATATGTGCCACCACACCTAGACCATATCTGCTATTTCTCTAGATCACAATTACATTTCAGAAGAACTGTGTCTCAAAGCATCATGTCTCTGAAATTATAGCGAGTTCTGGTCACCTTCACCTACGTTTCCCTACAAACACCAATAACAAAACCACAGGTTGTATCCAAGGGACCTTTTGAGACAAAATTATAATAATATTACTTGTTATTAATGGATAAATCCCATCAGATCCCAGCAGTGTACATACATTTGAAAGTAGGAAAGGCAAGGAGCAAGAAGCTGGGCTTTTTGAATTGTACTTGGTGCTAGGGCAAGAGTTCAGTAAGAAGATAAAATCACCTTCACAACACAAGGATCTCCTTCAGAAGTGCACTAACTTACAAGTAGGCAAATCAAGAGTTAATTGCTCTGGCAAGCAGAAGTGGAGAGATCTCCTTTAGAGGACAGGTGTGATTCCCTGAAGCCACAAAGTTAAAAGTTGATTATCTGAATAACTTAGGGAAAACAAAACAAAACACGAAACAAAACAAAACAAAACATAACTGACAAAGAAGTCAAAGAGGCAGTTTGTCAGTTCAAGATCTACTCTTTCTCAACCCCCAAGTCCCTTGGATATTTATCTCCAGGGAGGGAAGGTCAACACAGAAACAAATCAAGGAGAGATAAGGCAGCTGTGTAATTCTATATCCAGTGGGATGTCCGCCTCCAGAGCCTGGAACTTAGGGACGCAGGGAATGCCGGGCCAAGCAGCAGTACGTAGAACTTGAAAGCTAGAGAAACTTTAAACAGTTAGCATCCAATCCTTTCACCAGACAATTGAGAAAAGGGAGGTTCAAGAAGTTAATGATTTGCCAAATCACTGGCAAGAAGGAATTAGAACTGGGAATAAGAAGCCAGGCCTCCAGTCACTAGCTTCTGAATCAGGACAGTATTAAGTATTTAGATTACAAAAGCTCTAATGGTGACTGAATTTTGGCATTTAGGGTCATAAACACCATCTGAGGAA